CTGTCAAGTCAGCCCTTGAAGTCTTTTTTCAGAGGGGGAGTGCAAAATTTGACCCTTAGTAAATTTTTTTTCTGGTTTCTCATCACTATAGGAAATGTGACAAATCTAGGGAAGTACAGAAGAAAATTTTCAAATTACTTAGAACCCCTCCACCCACCACCCACTCACACTTGCCCCTGCTTTACTCTTGGTGGGTGTCGACATACGGATCCTCCGAGATGGGCTTATAGTGCTCTCTCCACACCCGTGTCTCTCAGTGGTTTTCGGAAGCCTGATTTCCGGGGCTGCAGCCTCTCATCAGATCTCTGCTCTGGTTCCGGGCCGGCGAGGCCACCAGAGCATCCCTGGAGAGACTGCGGGGGACTGTGGTGGGGGGGAGCACTCCGAAGTGGACTTGGCTGGGGTGCCGATCAGTGTCCTGGTGACCCTGCATGGTGGCACCAAAGCAGGGAAGGGCAGACCTGGGCCCCCTCCCACATCCCTCTGACCCATCCAGCTCCCCTGCAGCCCGCCCGCTGCCCAGCCCACACAGGCCACAGAGTTGGGTGAGAAGGGGTCTCAGGGAGGGTGTAGTGGGCTCTGCCCTGGACCCCTAACTTCTGCCAGGTTCTCGGCCCCCAGGACAGGCCTCCCTTGCGTGAGGCCATCACAGCCCCCCAGCACAGGTGGGGCCTAGTGTCGGGCTGGCCCTCCACGCTCCTTGTCTCCTGGGCTCTCCACTTGAAGGGTCCTGCCAGGTGGGACCTTGCCCCCATGACTCTTCTCCGAAGCTGAGACCACGAGGTAGGCCTGCCGGTGGTGGGACGCAGTGCCACCGCTGGGCCCAGGCAGCCACGGCAGGGAGGTGCCATGGCTGGGCCCCCCACTCGGGTTCCCGCACCCACTCTCTGACACCTTGCTAAGGAGTTCTGCTGCCCGGTGGGGGGCGGGTTCCATGCCTCCCTCTCTCTGTGCCTGTGGTGGGCCCCGGGCGGCCCCCACCCCTTCTCTGAGCAGCTCTGTCCTCTTCGCCCACAGGCTGCGAAGCCCTTGGGTGCCCTCGTGCGTCGGGCAGCCCCGTGTCCTGCAGGGCCGACTGGCCAGGTCCTCGCCCTCGCTCTGGGACAGGTAACATGCCTGCTGTCTCCCCGGTTCCTTGGTGTCTCTGCGTCCGTCCCCAGACATCCCTCCCGTGTCTGCGTCAACTCGCCCAAGACAGACAGGGAAGGGCCACGAGCTCACCACACCTTCCTGTGCCATCCATCTCAGAGACGAGGCCCACGAGGCCCCCACAGCCCGCACCCCCTGGCCCCAGCCGAGCTCTCTGTCCTGGGGCTCAAGCCTCCCCCGAGTGTCCAGGGAGGGCTCCTGGGGGAAAGCGGGGTGAGAGGTGCTGCCCTGGGATGAGGCCTGCACTCATGCACATCGTTCTTCCCTGGGAGGCGGGAACACGCTTCCAGGGGCTTCTCATGGGCCAGGGAGGGACTGGAAAACACCCAAGTGCCTGGCTGGGGGTGTTGCTCTTACCTGACGGCCTGGCTCTGGCCGGTCTGGTCACAAAGGACTCCCGCGCCTTCCCTGTGTTTCCGTTAAGGGGTTATTTCCAGATGTCATAGCCTCCTAAGTCAACTCCTTGCTCAGGGGGAAGCAGACGCCCCAGTCCCCGAGTGATCCCCCCAGATTCCCAGGAGCCTGGAAGCCCCAGGTCCACATGGGGCTTGCCTCTGGCATCATGAGCTGGGGCAGTGCACAGACGGCACAACTACCCTAGCAGCACGTGGGTGGGTGCCTGCACCCCTGCTTTACAGATCTGGAGACAGAGGCCGAGGTCAGGCAAGGCTCAGGTCGATGCTCAGGGAGGTGGGGGAGCGCTGGCGGCAACAGGGACACCACCCAGGCGACTGTGGACCCAACCCAGCACCAGCCTTGGACCTTCCTGGACCAGGCCAAGGAGGGGATGTGTCCAAAGCTTCTGCATAGCTGGTCATCGAGACTCGGTGACCGGCTGTGATGGGCAAAGGGCGAGGAGGGGTCACCACAGCTTCTCGGAGGCTGACTGGGGACTGAGGGTGGCTGTGCCCTTCTCAGGGGTGGGGACCACCGAGGGCAGGGTGGGGGCAGCACTGAGGCATGGAGTGTCAGGTGCCTGTAGGCCGTGGATGTCTGGATTGGGGAGGACCAGAGAGAGGCCTGCGATGGAGATGGAGGCATGGGGCGGGGGGCTCCCTTTGTGGCGGGCAGGGAGGAAATTGAGCCTGAGATGTTCAGGGAGGAGCTGGGTGCGAACAGGGCCTTGATGATCACCCGGGCAAAGCCGAGGGGTCTGCAGACTGGACGGAGTCCGATGGCAGAGATGGGGAGAGATGGGGTGGGCTCCAGCAGCGGGCCTGGGCATCTGCTGTGACTGAGGGCTCGGAGGTGTGTCTGGGGGCGATGAGGGGCGGGAGTCAGGGGCTGGGGACTCTATGGTCTCAGGCCTGGCCAGGGTGGGGCTTGGGGATGGGTGGGAGTAGTGTGTGAGTGTCGGTGGGACAGAGCCACCCCAGTACGTCTGGAAGGCCACTGGGTGCCATGAGTCTCGGATAGGCCAGCTCGGTGAAGCGGTCATCTGGTGAGGGGGAGGCCTTGACAGGGTGCCCACCTTCCAACCCTGTTGTGCGCTTGTCTCACCACGGAAATTTCCCTCCAGATGGTGGGTTCCACCAGGTGGGGGCTGTGCTGGCCCTTCCCACGGCTGCTGGGGGCCAGGAATGGGGTGGGGCAGGGCCGGAGAGGAAGGAAAGACGGTCTGGGATGGGTGGGACCTGTGGCCGGGTCACAGCAGGGCTGTGCAGTCTGCATGATGGCGGGGTCCGTGCTGGGGCTGCAGGTGGGTCGCCGTGGTTGGGAGGGAAGGTCACTGGCTGTGGGTGGCAGGGCGTGGCCACTCAGGTGGCCACACGAGTGAATGGACGATGCTGTCATCTCTTCCCGAGGGGACAGACCCCACCTGTACCTTGTGACAGAGGGCTGTGGGTGGGCCCACAGCCCCCCCAGGGCAACTACTTCAGAGGCTTCTGCCCTACCCCCTCCGCCAACACTGTGCCTGCAGGGGGTGGGGCTGGCTAACATGGGAGAGTCCCTCAGAAGCTAAGAAGCTTCCCACTGGGCAGAAAAGCTGGGGGCTGAGGACCATCTGGGATCTGTAGCTGAAGGGTGGGGCAGTCCAGCATGCTGCCTGGAGGAGGCAGCCAGACCCGTGTGGGCAGCCGTGGGCACTGTGCTGCGGGGCTCTCCTGGATTAATGCTGTGCCTCTCCCTGGGAGTCTGACCCCTGTGGGGACCTGCCCCACCCTTCTCTGAGGTTCTCGAAACATAGGCAACTTTTTACTTTTATTTATTTAAAAGAATACAGACGTGGGCAGGAATCCAGGAGTATGTGATGGAGATCAGCTGGGTGCGCGCCCGTGGTAACATGAGTGGCTTACACGCTGGGCCGGAGGCTGAAGGAGACTGCCTGCTCCCTGATCCCCTCACTCGGGTTTGGGTATCGGAAGTCCTGGAACACGGGCTCTTCTTGCTCAAGCTCCCACAACACCTCTGGGCAGAGTCCGAGTTCCCAAGCCCTGCCCCCCGCCGGTTTGCAGCGTGACACCTGCGGACTCCCCTCCACTCCCTTTTTGCTGGGCCCACAGCAAACGCGCCAGAAATGACTATTCAAGACGGTATTGGCTCCAGATTGTCCCCTGGGGGTGCACACTTGTTCCAGCAAACAGTGGGCCTGCCTGCCTCCCCGCCCTTCTGACCTGGGCACCTCTCTGGGCAGAACTGTTCTCAGAACCAGGGCTTTGTGTCCCCAGGGCAAGATGGGGGCAGTCCACTCTTCCCAGGAGGAAGCTGAGGCCCGAAATGATAGCGGGCAGCGGGGGTCCCATGGCAGTGGGGCCAGCGGCAAGTCAGTGTGACAGCAGCAGCCCCGCACACCCCGTGATGCCAGGCTGGAGTTCAGCTGTGCGCCGCACGGCCCTGGTGGGCTTCATTGGCCCTGGAGCCCTGGGGCCGGGCCAGGGGGGCCTGAACAGAGCTGGAATCTCAGCTCCACTCATGCCAGACACCCAGCAGACACACTTGGTGCCAGGCACCCGCCGGCCAACCTGGCCGAGCGCTCAGCCTGAAAGGGAGACATGCATGAGTCCGTGTGTGTTTCGGAGTCTCTCCGGGCTTTGCTCCTGTGCGGTGTAGCTCCCCACTGCCCCGGGGCCACCACAGTGTGTGGCCACCAGCCTTGCCCCTCTTGCCTTTTGCCTGACTCTAGAATCGAGCACATGCTGTCAGTAGGCCATTAGCCTTGGTCTCTGTTTTCTGGGCTGGGGGCCCAGCGTCCTGGTGTGCTAGAGGAGCCTGCCGTCTTTGGAGAAAACGGAGCCTCAAGAGCTGGGGCTGGGGCTCTGGAAGGCTTCCTGGAGGAAGGGGGACGCGAGCAGACCAGAGCTGTGCAGAATTTCCGAAGCGGTGTGCAGCTAGCTGACCACTGCGGCGGAGGCTGCCTGGGCATGGGGCACACAGCCCCTCTCCCAGGCCCGGAGGTCACACAGCCAGTTTGGGGAGCACAAGACGGCCGGCTGGCCCTGAGCTTCCCCACCCTGGTGGAGGAGCCCAAGGGTGGGGCCCCTGCAAGCCGTGCCAGGCGGAGGCGGCTCGAGTCGGAGAGCCCTCTTCAGACCAGGGTCCTTTAAACCGCCCCAAAGGCTCGCCAGGTTCCGGGGGAGCTAGGAGGGCCCGGGGTCAGTCGCTCCTCCAGGGGGTCCACGCGGGTATTTACTTAGGGCGGGGCGCCGCTGGGCCTGACCGCCTCTCTGACCCCCGAGGGGCTGGGCACCGCCGCGGGAGGGGGGTGCGGCGTGCGTGTGTGTGCGCGTCGTGCGCACTCGCGTGTGTTCGTGCGGCGGGGCGCACGCGGGGCACACCCGCGGCCGGCCCGCTGGGGCTCGGTTTCCCGCGCTCAGTGCCGCGGCCCGGCCCGCCGCCGCGTGTCGTTGCAGCGCGCTGCAGGAGCAGAAGGGCGAGCTGCGCAAGCGGCTGTCCTACACCACGCACAAGCTCGAGAAGCTCGAGACCGAGTTCGACTCCACGCGCCACTACCTGGAGATCGAGCTGCGCCGCGCGCAGGAGGAGCTGGAGAAGGTCACGGAGAAGCTGCGCAGGTACCGGGGCGGGGCCGGGGAGGGGCGGGGCGGGGCCGGGGAGGGGCGGGGCCGGCAGCGGGGGACGACCCGGAGTTCGCAGCCGCCGCCGCCGCCGCCGCCGGGGGAACCCTGCTGGCTCCCAAGGGACGGGCCCCTGGGCCCCGTTCACCGCTGCCAAGCCCGGGGCTCGGTGAGGGCAGGCTCCTTTTCCGAAGTCGCACTTTGTGCCAGGAGCGGCTGGGTCGGGCGGGACTGGACTCCGGGTCTAGATACCGCCGGACAGGCTCTTCCCAGGCACCTCTCCCTGGTCTGTCTGTTCATTCCTCTCACTTAATCTTGGGGGATGGGGGACAGCAGCATGACACACGTGCAGCCACCTGCAGGCCCCTCCCCCCCGCCGGCCCTCCGGGTCCCCACCCACTGTCCCCTGGGTCTCTGAGAGGAAAAACGATGTCTAGCCCCGGAGATGGACCAGTGGTCCGGGACCGTTCCCTTGAGCAGCATGGCCGCAAGTATTGGGCCAGGTGTGCCGAAACCAAACTTTTCTAAAAACTTGGTTCTTCACGTTGAAGACATTTTCCTAAAAAGTATTACACACTCTCCAGCCTTTAGGAAGACAGCAAAGAGAATGCGGAGTTTGCCCTTGGCTCGGTTTATTCTAAACGTTGATAGGGCCTATAGGCTGGGGCTGCCCCGGGGAAGGGGTTTGCCAGGAGGGCTGTTTGTCCATCCCTGAACATCCCCCTGCTCCATCTAGTCGCGAGGGAACAAAGTTTAGGCCGTTCAGTCGGACCTCTGTTAAGGTCTCTCCTCGGCCACTTACTGCTTGAAGCCCCTCCAGCCTCAGTTTCCCCATTGGTAAGACTGGGCGGGGGGCCCACAGTGACCCTCCACCCAGGCTGTCAAGAGGGTGGACACTCTCCCAAATTCCCTTCCACCCTCACACTACATGCCGTGGTGGGAACACGGCCCCTGATCCCCACCCAACACCTCGAGGCCGAGTAAGTAAATGTGAGTGAAGTGGGTGTGAGCAAGGACAGGACAGAGCCGCTTGTGGGTACAGGCCTTCCCTTCCCATCCCAGGCATCCTCGTCCCTGGCCCAGGAGAGCCCTCCGCACAGTAGCTTTCTGCTGTGCGCAGAAGTGCAGGCACACCTGGGTGGGAGCGGGGGGGGGGCAGGCGTAGGCAGCCTGTGCTCAGCCCTGCTCTGCCCAGAGGGCTGGGGGGCCACAGGGGTCACGAGTGGCCCGGCCTGGCACCGCAGTGACCGCATTGTTCCAGGATTCAGAGCAACTACATGGCGCTGCAGAGGATCAACCAGGAGCTGGAGGACAAGCTGTACCGCATGGTGAGGGCCCCCCGCCGACCGCCCTGGGCCCCACCCCAGTGTGCCCCTCTCGGAACCCTGGTGGCAAGCCACCAGCCAGGCTGTCATCCCCTCGCCTGTGCAGGAGCTGCTTACAGGGCTTGTTTCCTGGCCTCCACCCCCCAAGCCCCGTCCCCAGGACCAGTCCCAACCCTTTTTGCAATGCATGGGTGGGTGCTCTAGGGACTATGAAGTCATACGGTTCCAAGCTGCCCCGTGAGCCTCCTATGTGAGTGGGGCTGTGGGAAGGACGTGAGCTGGGGACAGTGACCCCGCTTTAGTGGTTGGCCTGGAGACCCAGACCTGGCGGGACAGAGGCCTGAGTTCGGGCCCTGGGTGAGCAAGAATGATGTTCGAACCCAACTGTGCCTCCTGTGGGGACACCCCATCTTACGGTAAAGAATAAAGGGGAAAGTGCCGCGCCTCCGGGAGACACTCCCACCATCTGCAAGTGCGGGCTCTTTTTTGTGTTGATCGGGCTGTTGGGACCTCAGTTTGGAAGAGAAGGGGACAGTGGCAGAGGCGTCCCGGTCCTGTATGGCTGGTGTGGGGGGAGGGGCCGGCAGGCTCTTGCACCTTCCCTCACCGAGAGGACTTCCAGCGCTTTCTAGTAGGTTACGGGCTTGTTTTGTTTCTGAAAATCCGAATTGGGTGTTCGACCTGCTGTCTTAGAGTGCTGTCAGAGCCGAGACAGCTCGGCCTGGGACCCTGGACAGGGCCCTTGCCTTTCTGAGCTCAGGTGGAGGCTGAACGAGGACTGGTTCAAGGCAGGAGCGGGTGTGGTGCAGGGCCAGGGGCCAGGCTTTGTGCTGAGGGCAGACTCCCCTCAGACCCAGGAGGAGGGATTACTGTCCCCGTGGTGTGGGTGAGCAGGAGGCTCAGGGAGGCAGTGACTTGCCCAAGGCCGTCTGGCTGGGCAGTGGTGGGAGCACAGGTGAATTCGAACCTGGTGGTCTGTGCTCCTACTCCCACCTTCCCTGGCCTTGCAAACCCCTCATCGTTATCGACTGCAGGAGGCACCCAGGACACCTATGGAGCAACTGGGCTCGAGGCCCAGGCCTTGGCTGACCGTTGACCAGCTCCTTCCCATACCCCCACCCCTCGTCCCAGGGCCAGCACTATGAGGAAGAGAAGCGAGCACTGAGCCACGAGATTGTTGCCCTCAACAGCCACCTGCTGGAGGCCAAGGTGACCATCGACAAGCTGTCGGAGGACAATGTGAGTGTTGGACCACCGTGACCCCTGGGGGCCCAGGCCCTGTGGCCTCCAGGCTTCAGGGGCTGGCATGCAAGGTGGGAGAACAGGGCAGTGGGGGAAGGACAAGGCTACCTCCTAGCAGAGATAGACTGCCAAGGGTATTCGGGAAGAGACCCTCTGCTGGAAGGAAACGGGGCTCAAGGGAGCAACCACTGGGCCATATTATTCCATTCAGGGAGGGGTGTCCTGACCCCAGGTTTGGGGCGTGCTCGTTCCTGCCCCAGACAGCCTTCGTGGGCCTCAGAGCCATGTGGCTGCCCTGATTTCAAGAGCCCCGTGAGATGGGCCCAGGCCCACTCGGAGGACACCTGACAGCTGACCACACATTCACTAAGGAGTGTCTGCTTCCTGCCTGGACCTCCGAGGGTGAGATTATGGTGTGAAGGACACAGACAAAAACTCTCCCTACCCACGTGCAGTTTGCGCCTGAGCAGGGGAGGCAGTAAACAAGATGACACGCAAGCCGTGTAGCGTGTTGTGAGTGCTCACTGCCACCGGGAAAACAACACAGCAAGCGGTGCTAGGGCGTCTGTCGGATGCTTCTAGAAGATGCTGCTAGATCAAGACCTGAGAGCGGCCAGAGAGCTGGCCACGGGCGCCCTGCGGAAGAGCCTTCCTTCGGGTGGAAAGAACCAGTGTGGCAGAGGACGCCCCTGTACGAACAGCGGAGGGAGCTCTAGGGGGGTGGGGGTCCCAGGCTCTGAGGTCAAAAACAGAACAGGAGGCCACACCATGCAGGCTTCTCTAGGAATCTCGGGTTTGTTTTTTTTTTTTTTTTTTTAATTTTATTTATTCATTTGACAGAGATCACAAGTAGACAGAGAGGCAGGCAGAGAGAGAGGGGGAAGCAAGCTTCCCGCGGAGCAGAGAGCCCGATGTGGGGCTCAATCCCAGGGCCCTGAGATCATGACCTGAACCGAAGGCAGAGGCTTAACCCACGGAGCCCCCCAGGAGCCCCTCTTGGTTTTATTCTGAATGAAGTAGGGAGCCATGGAAGTTTCTTGAACAGAGGAGTAACATGACTAAGACCTATGCTTTTCTGGGCTGAGAAAAGACAGTGGGGACAAGGTCCACAGCAGAAGGCTCAAGGAGGCGGCTGTGGCAACAGTCCAGGCTGACAGCGGCTTGGCCAGGATGACACCCATGGAGCGGGGATAAGGGCTCAGGTTCTGGTTCTGGTTCAAAGATGGAACCCACTGCATTAACAGAGATTTTGGACGTGGGGTGTGGGGGAATAGAAGGGCCTAGCCCAACTGCAGGGTTCAGAGCCCGAAGGAAAGAAGCGACCTCCTGTCTCCTGGGGGGCTGCCTGGGGAGGAGCAGGAATGGGGCTGGACGGGGCACGCTCGGATGGCAGAGATGAGGGTAGAGATGCGGAGAGATGGCCGAGGAGTGTGGGCAGAGGAGGGGAGGCCCTGCATGGGGCCCGGGGCCGTGCTGCAAGTCTACAGCGGGTGTGGTGGCCGACCCAGGCTGGCCAGCCAGTGCGCACAGCCCTCTGCGGCCAGGGCCGGCCGGAGGCCTCTGCTCTCGGCCAACTGTCCTTCCCAGGGGGCTCAAGGAGACATTGAGGAGACTGGGGACCCCTTGTCTCTCCACTTTGCAGGCCAAGCCAGGGGCACGAGCTCGGCACAGACGGTGGAGGTGGGGGAGCCTCTAGGAATGGGGTACGGCGTGGGGGGCAGCGGGGCCCGTGCCTTCCACAACCTGTCCAAGCTGCAGGATACCTGGTCCCGGCTGAGCTGAGACCGGGGGAGCCGGCAGATCTCAGGGCCCGGTGGTGGACCCCGGCTTCCCGTGAGGGAGCCCTCCTCATGGTGGAGGGCCTCCAGGGCAGGGGCAGGGCTGAAAGGCCCGGCCACGGGCACATGCAAGAAAGGTGAAAGCGGAGCCCGCGGTCCTGCTGCTCGTGCCTGTCCTCAGCTCCGGAGGCTGAGCCGGTCCTGCTGCTCGCACCTGTCCTCAGCTCCGGAGACTGAGCCGGTCCCGGCCCGACCGCGGTCACACAGGCCCTCTGCCCCTCCTTGCCCTGCCCCTCACCCAGCCCGGCAGCCACCCCCATAAGCAGGCCACACTTCGGGAAGGGGGCTGTGGAGCCAGTCCGAGACGCGGGGAGGCAGGGGCTGCAGGCACATTCCTTACCACCGGCTGGCGCCAGCCCTCTCTGCTGAGACAGGGCCGGGGGGACAGGACAGCCATGCTCTCCGTGGCCTCCAGTGGCCCTTCTTCCATACGACCTCCTCCTTGTGGGAGGTTCCCGTCTGGGGTGGCAGCGGAAGGGCCTGGCAGGGCCCTCTCCGTGCACCAGCAGCTCCGGGTCCGAACCGAGGCTCCCCCCGACACCCCCCGCCAGTCCAGTGTGCAGGCGAGCACGTGAGGCCCAGTGAGGGTCCTTGCCCAGCCTGCTGCCCAGCCAGCTGCCCCCGCACCTGGTTTCCGCGCTGGCCGCGGGCGGCAGGGCCCCGGAGCAGGGCAAGCCTGCACCAGACGGCCTCCCTTGTCTTCTAGGAGCTCTACAGGAAGGACTGCAACCTAGCGGCCCAGCTGCTGCAGTGCGGCCAGAGCTACGGCAGGGTCCACAAGGTGTCCGAGGTAACGCCAGCCCTGCCCCCGTGAGGCTGCCCTCGCCCCCCAGGACGCCTTGGGGCTCCAGTCCTACAGGCCCCACCCCAAGGCCACTTCTCCCCTTTGAGGGGAAGGCGCCACGTAAGCCTGAGCCCCTGTCCTCCTCTGTACTGCAAGGATCCTGGCCTTTCTGAACGTGGTGCAAGGCCCCCCCAACCCCAACGCCTCCTCACCCAGCTTGGATGGCCTCCCCATTCCCCGTGCTTGCCTCTGGGGGCTGCTCCTTGACCCTGCTCCAAGCCCCCTGTCCACAGAGCACTGATGGGGCAGAGCGACCCCCGTTTGAGCCTCATAGAAACTCTAGGCTTTGGTTTAGGCACCATTACTGACAGTGGCCATTTCAGAGACGAGAAAACTGGTTTCACATGGAGTGACTAAGCCAAGGCCCCAGGACCCCCCCCCCCCGCCCCCACCAGGCTGCCCCAGGTTCACGCACTGCCCTCACCCTGGCCTCGACCCGTGTACCCTCTCCCCTGGGCCTGGGCCGCACCAAAGACACTCACAAAAGGGATCAAACAGTAGCAGGACGGCCCCACGATGGACCAGGTGCTCGTGCAGAAGCCACGGGGCACCTGGCCCCGAGTCTGTGTTGCATCTGAGTCTGTCTTGTTCAGGAGCACCCAGGCCTCACGACCTGGTAGGGGGTACCCCCGACAGACCTTAGGGCCGGGAGAGCAAGCGGGCCCCTCAGTAGGAAGAGATGAAGGGGGCTGCAGCCCCAAGAAGGGCCCAAGTCAGACCCTGGTTCCACCTTCGGGGCTCCTCGGAGCCCAGCTGTTGTAGGCTGGAGAGACAGAGGTGACCAGGGGGTCCTTGGGCGAGTTTCAGGAACCTTCCCCAGGAGCCGGTGCCATCCAGAGTCCTGGGTGCTGGCCCTAGCGGTGTAGTTTGAGAAGCCGTGGCCGGGTCCCTCTTCTGTCTGTGCATCTGTTGGTCACGGCCACAGTGACAGGTGCCGGGCTGACTGCTACCCCTGTCCCTGCCCTCCCCTCCCCACACCTGACCTGTTCTAGCTGCCCTCCGACTTCCAGGAGCGCGTGAGCCTGCACATGGAGAAGCACGGCTGCAGCCTGCCCTCCCCGCTCTGCCACCCGGCCTATGCCGACAGCGTCCCTACATGCGTCATTGCCAAGGTGCTGGAGAAGCCTGACCCCACCAGCCTATCCTCCCGCCTGTCTGACGCCTCTGCCCGAGACCTGGCCTTCCGGGATGGGGCGGAGAAGCAGGGCCCACGGCCCCCCTACAAGGGGGACATCTACTGCAGCGACACGGCCCTCTACTGCCCCGAGGAGCGGCGCCGCACCCGGCGGCCCAGCGTGGACGCGCCCGTGACCGACGTGGGCTTCCTGAGGGCCCAGAACTCCACCGACAGCGCGGCCGAGGAGGAGGAGGAGGTCGAGGCGGCCGCCTTCCCCGCAGGCTTCCGGCACGAGGCCTTCCCAGGCTACGCGGGCTCGCTGCCCACGTCCAGCTCTTACTCGAGCTTCAGCGCCGCGTCGGAGGAGAAGGAGCACGCCCAGGCCGGCACGCTCACGGCCTCGCAGCAGGCCGTCTACCTGAACAGCCGCGACGAGCTCTTCGACCGCAAGCCGCCCGCCGCTGCCTACGAGGGCAGCCCGCGCTTCGCCAAGGCCACGGCCAGCGTGGCAGCGCCGCTCGAGGCCGAGGTGGCCCCGGGGTTTGCGCGGACCATGTCCCCGTACCCAGCCGAGCCCTTCCGCTTCCCGGCCTCCCCGGGCCCCCGGCAGGCCCTCATGCCCCCAAACCTGTGGAGCCTGCGGGCCACGCCGGGGGCGGCCCGGCTGGCTGGGGAGGACGTGCGGGGCCAATGGCGCCCCCTGAGCGTGGAGGACGTTGGCGCCTACTCCTTCCCGGCCACCACCGCCGGCCGCGCCTCGCCCTGCAGCTTCTCGGAACGCTACTACGGCAGTGGGGGCAGCCCGGGCAAGAAGGCTGAGGGCCGCGCCAGCCCCCTCTATGCCACCTACAAGGCCGACAGCTTCTCGGAGGGTGACGACCTCTCCCAGGGCCACCTGGCAGAGCCCCGCTTCCTTCGGGCCAGCGGCGACCTGAGCCTGAGCCCCGGCCGTGCGGCTGACCCGCTGCCCGGCTACGCGCCCAGCCAGGGGGACGCGGAGAGGCTCGGGGTGCAGCTGTGCGGGGCGGGCGGCAGCCCCGAGCCCGAGCACAGCCCCCACAGTTCCAGGGACTCCCTGGAGCCCAGCTCCATGGAGGCCTCCCCGGAGATGCACCCTGCCGCCCGCCTCAGCCCGCAGCCGGCCTTCCCGCGGACTGGTGGCTCGGGGCTCAGCCGCAAGGACAGCCTCACGAAAGCGCAGCTCTACGGAACCTTGCTCAACTGAGTGCCTGCCTGCAGGCCGCGGCCACGGGGCCGCCCCCTCCCACCCACCCTGGGCCCCAGAGGGCACAGCTCGCCTCTCCCCAGACACCTGTCCTCCCCAGCCCCCGCCAACCAGCACCCTCTCTTCCACCCAACCCAGTCGAGCCTGAGAGGAGGACCCCTCCCACACCATCTTGTCCATCCCAGCCCCACCACGGTGGAATGTTTTTCACGCCCCAACATCCTTCCCCACCTGAGATGAGCATTCCCCCCTTTTATAAAGTGAAACTATTTTTATAGAGAAAAAGGGTCTTTCTTAACGCACTTGGCCTCCAGCTCCCTGGATGGCAGCCTTGGCGTTTTCAACACAAAGCTCCTTTATTTTTCGGGGGAGGACAAGGAGGGCCTGCCCCTGGGAGGGGAAGGACGGGGTCTTGTGGAGACATCCCCAGTGAGCCGGTGACAAGGGAACCCGAAACTGTCCACGAAGAGGGGAACTGGAATGGGTGGAGGGATGTGCAATGTTTCTAAACTGTTTTCGCCGTGTGACCAACACACCACCCCAGCTCTCCCGTGGTCCGTAGTCCCGAGTGGGGCCGGTGCTCATCCCCCAGTGTCCCGCTCCCCGGCACCACCTCGCTCTACCTCAGACGTAATGAGGCCCTCGGCTCCCGGCGTCTGTGGCTCGCTTTCCCGTCGTCCGCGATGCATGCCCGGTCTGTTAGTACTGTACTTCTGTTCATTAATAAAAGACATTGGTGGAAAGAGCCGGGCTCCGGGTTGTCTCTGCTCCCCACCGTCTTCTGACCACAGAGACCCGGCATCTTGGGCAGCATCCGAGCGCCTCCACGGTCTGACCCTGCTGGGCCTTCTCGCCCCTCCTAGGACGGGCCTTCTCTCTTCCCCTCCTCCTGCTGCCCCCCGCCCGCCGCCCTCTCTCACGTCTCAGATCTGGCTTCTGCAGGGAGGTCCCCGAGGATCTCCTTCAGAGCAGCTCTCACTTCTCTGAAACGTCTTTGTTTGGCCCCACTGCGAAGGGTGTTCTCACTGCGGAGGGGGGTTGCGGGGGGGCTCTTCCTCCCCAACACACACACACACACACACACACACACACACACACACACACGGAGATGCCATCTGCGCGGTCCCCGGCCTCCTGTTGGTGTGGGGATGTCTGTCCGTCCGTCCGTCCGTCCATCCGTGGGGAGCTGTCCTTGGACGACTGCCTGCCCTCTGCTCTCCGGCCCCTTCGGAATGTCCCTCCGGTTGTCTGCAGGTCCTGAGGCGCGTCGTCGTGCATTTGTCCTTCCTGGGGGTTCACAGGAGTCCTGTATCTGCGGGTTGGTGTATTTCACCAGTTCTGGAAAATGCTCAACTTTCTTTTTTTGTTTCCTCTCTCTTCCTGGGATTGCCTTAGACCCCTGGCAGCCCCTCTCACGGCACCCTCTGGGCACGCTGCCCTCCCCGCTGCGTGTCCTGCACTGGGGGTTCCCCGAGCTCAGCCCACGTGGTTTGCTTTCCTTCACACACATTCTGCTTTGTCCACGCCCAACACAGCCACTGCGTTTGTAGTTTTCCGTGAATTTGTCCTACATGTTGTTCGGTTGTCTCGCAAACCTACACTCCCCCCGCCCGCCCCGTGTCCTGTTCCCTGGAGATCATTCCTCGCTTGCCTTTTTTTCCTTAAACACGTGGGCCCGGCCGAGCCGGGCTGGGTCTGGCACTTCCCTCATGGGTTTCTCTTGGCTCCTGTCTTGCTGTCTCCTTTCTTCATGAGGCTGGTTATCTCAGATGCACACTCATCCCTGTCCTCGAAAATCTATTTGGAGGTTCTGCAAAGCCTACGGTGGAGGCCTGTCCTCACAGGGTCTGTTCCAAGGGCCTGGACCCTTCCTGCTGGACACCAGCCGGCTCCAGGTGCTGGCCTTGCAGTGGCCTGGCTCACCCTGCAGTGTAGACCCAGGGCAGGTCTGCCTCTTGCCAGGGGACTCCAAGGAGGGTGGGCATCAGCAGGGGCTCCCAGCATCCCTGCACTTGACCTGCCTCTGCAGGAGAACCCAGCGCCGGCCCAACCACCCTGCCCAGGAGCTGTGCTCCAGGAAGCCGTCTCCTCCAGCCAGAGGGAACGGGGAGAGGCTTGGGAGTCGGCTCCCCTCTGAGGGCCCAGTTTCCTCATGGGCAGACAGGAAGCGACCCTGAATGAGCTGGGGAGCAACTGGAAGGGTGCAGGGAGAAGCACGTGGCCCCTGGCACCCAGCAGACCCTCATAGGTGTTCCCAGAGGGGAACCCGCATCTAGTCAGCCCCACACTTTGGCTGTGTGAATGGCGGTGGGGCTGCCTCTTCCGGCCTCCGCTTTCCCTCCTCCAGGTGATCACAGTCCTGCCTGGCTCTCTCGCTCCTCAGGGCCAATGGACTCAGAAGTATCAGGCCCTGGGTAGCAGGGCTGGGGACCCTGCGGCTTTGCAGACTGGGCCGAGGGCCCTCTCAGATTTGGGGCTTTAGCCCCCACATGGTCACCCAAGCATCCTACAGACCTCACAGAGCTGCCCTGCCGTGGCCTCCAAAACCATCCACAGTTGGAGCCCAGAGGGTGTCTTGTTTCCAGAGGGCCTGCTCGGGGCTGGGCGGGAACAGTGACTTCTTTGGCCAAGAGCCAGGTAGGCTACAAAGATGGGCTGACCTGGCCACACAGAGCAAGGGGGTGGGGTGTCTGGAGTTCCATCACGTGATTTTGAGCAGGGTCAAGTGGACACCACCTTGAGTGGAGGCTGGCATGGGATGCTATGGTCCCAAACCACTTCTTGAGGGGCTGAGCTGGAAAAACTTGGTTTTCACTCAAATCCCCCTGGCTCCAAACCAGCTCCGCAGGACCTTGGGTCTCAGGAGTGCAGGTGGCTCTGGTCAGTGACTCTCAGAAACCCCCTCAGTGGGGACTTGGTGCGTCCCTCCTCTTCCTGATAATGGGGCTGGCGGACACCTGCCCTGTGCCGGCCACAGGGTCCCTGCTCTGACCACAACGAGCTCAGAGGTCGGGGGGAGGCAGATGGTGTGACTCTAGGCCCAAGGCTTCAATAATACAGAGCCACGCAGAGAGGCGAAGGTCCCTCCTGCTCCAGCGGGTAGAAAGCAACCCTCCAGGAGGATGCTCATGCAGGGTACTGAAGGATGAAGAAGTCGTCAGCGGGCATTTCAGACAAAGGGAAGAGCCTGTGATATGTGATATGTGATCGCTGGGGAGTTCCAGAAATGTCTCTATGCTTCCATGTGCCTGCCTGAGGGTTCAGCCTGGGGGCCACCAGCTTCCCTCTGGGTCTGTCCTGGGATGTTCTGCTAGATGGGAACTTTTGGGCTATGTTGAGGCCTTGCCCTCTACTTTCTTAGCCCCATCTACCCAGGCAGCCAGCCAGGCCGCAGAGTGGGGTTCCTTCCTCTCGCCCCTGGCCCACCACCACCCGTGCATCGACCACACTCCTGCCAAGTTGTGCGTACGTCTCCACCCCCAGCCAGGGCAGCGCTGGGCTGGCTCTGCCACTTGCTCGCCATGTGACCTTGGGCCAGTCTCCCCTTCTGCAGCCCAGGGACATTAGGAGATCCCCAGGGGTCTCCATGATCGCTGGCTGTCCCGGTGCACGGGGAGCCACAGGAGAGGCTGGAGAGAGGGAAAGAGCACACACTTCAGAGTCCGACAGTGTCTCAAGCAGCAGTGCCCTCCACTGGACAGCAGAGCCGGGCCCCCTGGGCGGAGGGGGTGCGGCTTCGAGCATCACCTCCGGCCGGCAGCACACAGAGCCACACGCCGGCACCTCCGGAGGAAACTGCTCTTCTCCCACGAACGCTTCAGGTCTGTGTCCCGGAGTACAGGTGAGGGTACAAGGAAGCACTCAGCCCCGGGAAGGAGGGTGGAAGGCACGGCCCACGCTTCTCTTCATTCCAGCTCCACACTAAGTTCAGCTCCCTTATTTTAAAATTGCAAATGATGAACTCCCCAACACCTTGCAGAGGATCCGAGCGAGCCTCTAAGAAGGCTCTCTGGAAGACGGCATCCGGAGAAAGCGATAAAGGCACGGAGTATGCCTGCCATTCTTTCTCAATAAAATAACCTACAAAAGTTGCAGGGGCTTGGGGGGGCTGGCAGCTGGCACCCGCAGGCACGGAGTTGAGGCGTCAAGTCCACAGAGCAGAGCGCCAGAAGCAGCCAGAGTGGGGAGCCCTGCGTGTACCCTGCCCCAGGAAGATCAGAGCTCTGGACGGTTCAAGGGGACACGCGTGGAAAAGTGGCGGACTTGGCCGGCAGAGACTTGGATGCTGCCGGCCCCGAGCGAAGCGGAGAGAGGGGGCCGCGATCCGCCAGGGCTTTCCTCCGCGCCTCCAGCCCTGCTTGTTCCCACAGGCCCGACTATAGACGAGGAAGCAGGCTCAGAGAAGCGAAGCACCCGCCAACATGCCAGGCAAGTGAGTGCTGGGCTGGGGGCCTGAGGCGGCCTCCCGACTCCAAACCCCACAGCGTTGTGGGCAGCCAGGGTGTGTGCTCAGTGCAGGAGACGGGGCGCGCAGCTGGGGCCACACCCAACACTCACAGCAAAGCCTGAGTTAATACAGTCTGTAAACACTGCTCATGTTAAACAACGGTAACGGGGCGCCTGGGTGGCACAGTCAGTTAAGCGTCTGACTCTTGGTTTCAGCTCAGGTGGGGATCTCAGGGTCGTGGGACTGAGCCCCATGTCAGGCTCCACGCTCAGCACAGAGTCTGCTTCAGATTCTCTCCTTCTCCCTTTGGCCCTCCTGCTCATGCTCTCTCTCTAAAATAAACAAACAAATCTCTTTTTTTTAAGTAGTAATAATAATACGTCACCGCAGGGAAAACAATCAGAAAACCATGAGCTGTAATCCATACTCAGAAGATACTCCACACAAGAAAGGCAGAAAACCACCCAGTTCAGGCTACGCTAGACGGCAGGACATCCAGACTCTAGGATCTGGAGCTGGACGGTGGAAAGTAGAGGTGGGAGAGGCAGACGAG